CTCTCAGTCAGCAGGGGGGCTAAGGCAGCTTCCTGCCTCTCCTGGCACCACAGGCCATGCTGTGCTCCAAAAGCAGCCAGCACAAGGTTCCCAGCCAATGGGAGTGCGGAGCTAGTGCTTGGGGCAGAGGCAGTGTGTGGAGCTCTCTGCCCCTAGGAGCTGGGCCTGCTGCCGGCCGCTTCTGGGGCCTTGCACAGTCTGCAGTGCCAGGACAGGCAGGGAGCTGCCTTAGCCCCCGCACTGCTCACCTGACCCCCCTGCAGCCAGGAGACCCAGGGCCTGACCTTCCATGACCTGTAGACTGAAAACCATTGGCTTAGCCGATCTACTTCTCATTGAAACTCCAGCACGGGGAAGTCAAGATAAGCAAACTGGGGAAGGCAGCCCTGAAACACCCAGCTCTGGGCAGGATGCCTGGGCAGGATGCCAGCCTCTCTCTTTTCAAGCCGAGCCCTTAACTCCCCCAGCCAACGAGGGGAGACAGAAGGTGTCAACCGCACAGGAAGCAGGGAGGGGAGCAGCAACCAGACACATTCAGGCTCCTCCGTATCTCGAGCATTTCCCTCCTGTGCCTTTTCTGCTTTCTGGGCTAACGCGTTTCGTAGCGTGGTAGCTCTCTCCAGCCCCGCCCCAGTCTAGCCATTCGGCACAGCTTGCCCCACAGGATCACGCTGGGGCGAGGTGATTGGTGATCCCCCAATCGGAGCTCCCAGCGTGCTGTCAGAGAAGCCCACGCCCTGTGCCTGGGAGCGGTGCGTGTTCAGAAATTGGGGGCAATTTCCACCCAGCTGAGGTGCGAGCTGCTCTGAGACCAGGCTTAGTGACCAGAAACTTGCAGTTTCTGCAAGTCGTCTGCCCGGAGGGGGGCTTGCTTTTAAGACACTTGTTTAAGGCTCTGTGGGGACCTCCAAAAAAAGCAGCAGTTGTAGGGGACGGAGAACAGCACATTCTGCAGACAGAGAGATCAGGTCTCAGAACCACCTCCGCACCAGCTAGCCCCGGGCTTTGCGGTTCTGCACCACCATGCTGGATGTGGGGCAGACTCCTCCGTTCCCACTGCAGCCGTCCCCCGTGGCCCAGTCAGGAGCAGAGGTGATGGCGGGTGTCCCTGAACTAGAATAGAAAGGGGTGCCCAGTAGGAATGTAAAATCCCGGTTAACCAGTTAACCAGCGAGATGTTAAGTTGTCCTAATCGGGTAACCGGTTAAACCTTAACTGAGATCCGGGCAGGGGACTCCAGGCCAGCTGGAGCAGCCCCCAGCCTGTGGGGCTCCTGCTCCCAGTCCTGCACAGGGGCTGGCTGCCAGCTCCCAGCCCCTCCTCCCCCATACTAGGGCAGGGGCTGGCTCTCCAGATGAGAGCTTGCGGCAGGCAAGGAGCTGGTGATACTTACCAGTTAACCTTTTACATCCCTAGTGCCCAGGTCAGGGGGCACTGGCCAAGCTCGAGCAGGAGCAGAAGCTGCAGGTTGGGACTGA